GCTAAAAAAAAACCCGCCTGTGTTCTAGCAGCAGAGATAAAAGCGGAGATGTTGGTCCTCGCAGCTCTCCCGCCTGAGGTGTTTCCTTCACGTTTTTCCCACTAGCCGTCTCTCTGCCGGTCCCTCTCCGCCGCTTGGCCCCCCTTGTGCGTCCTGGCATCGCTTCCCCGGCCCTCCTGCTACAAGCGTCCGGATTAACTGACTCCAACGCGCTCAGCCTTGCGCCCACTTCAGCTTTGAGCTTTTCCACATCCCCGTCCGTTCGGTCTCTGATCTTGTCTTCTGCGGAGGCCGGCCAGATGGCATTCGTGTGGTTTTGCGGCAAGATGCGGCTTTATCTGGGACTGAATTAATTTCATTCCGTGTTCATCCTTCGTATCTACGGATTAAAAGCGAAGGCCGTGGCGCTCCCGGTGTGTGAGCATGTGCGTGGAGCCCCGCGCAAGTCCCCAAGAAAACTCGTCTGCCCAAATGTTTCCGCAGTCGTGGTGTCCGATGCTTAACCGCAGTTTGGCCATGCTGTCCTCCGGTGTGCCTTGGTAAGGCACTTCTTGGTCAGCCCCATCTGAATAATTACCTACAGCTACATCTCTGAAGTTAATGAGATGCCTCATTAACCTTTGAGGGTCTCTGAGATGAACGTGTTGGCACTTTAGTCACTTTTGTCATAGATAAGGCCAAACGCAACTCCAGCATCTCTGTATTTCTTCCAGCAGTAGGGAGCACGTGTGTATTGTACAGCTTTAGAGCCACAAAAGGATGATCTTTCTGCTTTCCAAATAGGATTGCAGGAGCTGTTGTATAAAATACGCCACCTCTCAAGAAAACAAAGGGTTTTGTGTGAAAAGCGAGTGCTGGAAGTGATAAAAAATTTTTCTTTCAAGTGACAGTTCAGATTATGGCAACACTGTTGATTGCTGAATCACATTGTCTCAGACAGAGATGTGAATTCCAGTGCCACAAGCTGTAAATAACTTTCTGGGTATATTTCTAGCTCTCAGGTCCCTCATGTTGGATTTAATGGAAAAACTTCTTGGCCCAAGTTTTCTTTACTAAATCACACATTGCCCTTTTGTACTGCATGTCTGAAAATCCAAGCCCATTTTTCCCTAGATATTTATGACAAAATAGATACCTGTGTTGAGTGACTCACATCGAGCGTAATGACCTGAGCATCTTCAGAGCAAAGTCTTTCAAAAACTTGCTCCGTGTATTCTAGATGCTCAGCATTGCAAGTTATTTGTCGCATAACGGCAATAAAATTGCCTGTAAGAAGCCACTATGGTGTCGCTCCATAATTTTCACATCGTTTATGTTATTGGGAAACAAGGTTGAACAGTTGTACTGTTTCTAGGTCCTTTTGAGCTGCTTCACTTTTCCTATGAGCCTGTGTTAACAAATCCATAAATCTATTGCAGCAGGGAAGGGGATTTTATTTTCAGTGCTGTCTCCCATAATAAGCTAATAAATCTGTGTCCAGAGGTGAGTGGACAAGCCAAGTAATTGTAAAGTTACTGAAACTTGAAGCGTAAGATTATTTGTGGGCAAATTGATCCGTAAGTCTGGATGTTTTAGGAAGGTCAGAACCTAGTGAGTGATGTGTGATGGATTCTGGGGGTCCAAGTGAGGGCTTTGGAGCTCCTGAGGTAATAAAACAATCTCGGGGTTTTGTGAGAATGTCCTGTAAGGCGTGGAGATGCGTCTCGCACCACCTTCATGGCTGCAGTTCAGCAAGTGCTGCTGCGTGTGAAGGCTGGTGCCAGATTGATGCCAGGCACCCGCCCTCCCCAGGGCAATGTAATCTGGCCTTTCCCTTCTCTGGTTGGTACGGAAATGACAGTTCGCTTATTCCTGCGGACTTTGTGCTCCCATGTTGCTGGAATGTGATGTTTCCATGGAAACGCACCGAGATGCCTTAGACCCAGATGGTATCAGGGGGCCTGAGCTCTCCCGGGGAGAGAGGTGCGAGTTGCGATAACCCTCGGCCCTTGAGCGATGAATTTGCCCTGCATTTATACATCAGTAGTCAAACAGTGCAAGGCTTGAGAAATAGGGATCGCCTCGAATAAAGGCCTGAGCAGGAAGGGCAGACAGGCACCTTTCCTGGAAGACTGTGACAGATGGCATGCGGATAACAAAGTCTCTTTAAAAAAAGCCGTTGCTGTGCTGCATTTCTTTCTTCTAGGACTTCCAAACTATCCCATAAATGGTGTCTGCATCCTCTGAGTAGTGTCACGGGCTCCTCATTCCTATTTAGCTGCAGAGTTCAGAAGAAGGGAACCATTTATATAATGAAATAGGTGATTTGAGGCCCTTAGAAACCAACTGAATCTTGATGAAGTCAGTAGAAATTTCAGGTGATGTAAGTGAGCTTTGGAGCAGATTATTGCCCACGTTGAATCGTGGCACGAGCTCTTGTCACATCTGCCTGATTTTGGTCATCTCGGCCTCTTGTATGATCAGGGGAGCTCCTGGGGAGCAGCTGGAAGCCGTTCAGTTGGAAGTGTGCATGTCTGCGCTCTGAAAAACAGTATTTTGGCCCAGCTCAAGGTCTGTGTGGCGCAGAGATCTTGTGTTTAGGGAAAAAGCAGCGGCAGGTTGTATAGAGGACAGAATGTTACAAGCAAAGCGTAGCAATGTCCGTGGGACATATTAAGAGTCCTCCGCATCAGAGGCTGCAGCTGGACTCGGCTTTCTTAACGCCATCAGCAACAGGAACAGAGGAGCAATTTGGGTTGAGGATGAGAGAAGCAAATTATTTCCCAGGCAGCGATACTGGTCCCTGCGCCAGGTGCAGAGCTTTTATTCGACGTGTTATTTTTGGGGTAAACATGAATGATACGCCTGAGCGGAGCCCGGTCTCTTTGCATCTTGAAGGGGACTTCTGCTTTTGCTGTGTGAAGTGCTGTCAGCTCATTTTGTGCAAAACTTTTGAGAACTGGTGAACAGAAAGACTCCTGTGGTCATCTTTGGTCACAGCACCCTGTTGGGGGGGGATATACGAGCTGGACCTTGACAGACTTGACTTAATGCCGACAGCAAGTGTGACAGTGAAAAAGCGAAGGGAATTTGTCTCCTTGCTTCCTGGTTTCCACCTGTTTGTCGTTTGTTTTTTAATTTTCTTCCGCTTTTTCCTCTTTAACTGGCAGGTGAAAATGGCTGCAGAAGAGAAGCGGAAAGGCTGGGCTTCGAAGCAGCGTAGCGGGGCTGAACAGGCAGGTGAGAAGGAACCGTGCGTGCTCCTGGGCCAGCAGCTGGGTGAACCAGGAAGATTCGCTTATGCGGCGCTTTGTGGGATATCCCTAGCATGGCTGTTCCCTGAAACAGAGCAAAGGTACTACGCGGGGTAGCAAGGGGTGAGCAAAGGAGGTGGCTTTTGGGTAGCAGCTGGGATGGAGCTGGTGTCAGGCTCTTGTGTGGGGTCTTCTGAGGTTAGGGGAGTGGAAGATCCTTCTGACATGAGGTGTTTTCTTAATTGTATTGACTTCTCTCTCACACCTTTAAGACTTTCGTACTTCGGCACAAATTGCATCTCTTAATACTGCAGACGTCAAGGCAGGTGTTGAAGGAAGGTCCAGCTTCACTCAGATTACTTGCTTGCTTGTTTAGCCGGCTTGTGTAGCAACTCGACTTCTGCTGACTTCTTACGACGCCTTGATTTTTGTGTGAACAGCGACAGATCAACATCTGAAAGCAGGGACCACTCCAAGTTTGCAAAAATCCCCAGTTACAGAGCCTCAACTGCTGCTGTTGCCTTACAGCTCCTTCAGGACGGGATTCATTGAGGGCTTCGTGAGATGGCTGGGCCTGCCTGATGCTGTCTTACCTGCCATGACAGCATTTGCTAGTGGCTTAGGAGGTGAGGGCACGGAAACTTTTGCCCAGATTTTGCTGAAGGATCCCATCTTGAAAGAAAATCCGGTTGTCATTACCCAAGTAAGTTCATATGCTCCCCTCGCCCTTGTTTGCTTTTGCAAAAGCCATTTGTCATAGGTGTCTGTTTGCAACTGAAGTTCTGTTTGCACAGTCAGGGAAGTAAAATCAATATTTCTGATATGCTTGTATTTATGAGCAGCTGTGTGGGTGACTGGCAGGCTCTCTATCCATGAACAGCTCAAGGAAGCGATGAGCCTGAGGCACGGTTACTGTCTGTTGAATTAATGGTTTGTGACTTTGATACTTTCACTCTACAGAACAGAGAACTGTCAAGCATTTTACTTGGACTGTATTATTGCAGTGGTTTTGATTCATAAGTGCGTTCTACAGACTTTGGTGAAACACTGAATGTGATAGACCCGATTTTTGTTTGTTCAAAAGCCCCTTCACCGTACCTGTAATACAAAACACCTCTACATACTTGCTCCAAATAGCCCAGTTTCCAGGGTCTTTTTTCCAGAGTCAGCTTTGACCAGAAGGGAGTAAGTTATTGTGACTTTATTTTCTTTCACTGAGAAAGTATTATGAGACGGGCACTTCTCCATAGTGCTCTGCTGTAGAAGCTGACGTGAAGGCGGAAGAGGTGAAGCATTCTGGTGGCATTCACCTTTGCTGTGAAAGTCTCAGAGAGTCTCAGCTGGGGAAGATCTCTCCTCATCCAGCCTCCCATTATGCCGTGCTGGGCAAAGAGCATGGTAGGCTGCTGCTGATGCCACACGTGACGTGGCCGCTGTCACCTCGCACCCTGCACCGTGTGCTGCACGAGGCGATGGCGAGACGTCCTGCGTGCAGACAGTTTTCTCGTACCGAGGAGCAGTTACCACCCCCTCACCTTTAGCAATGGCCCGACAGAACAGCAGATGTGAGAGCACAGCTGCGCAAGTAGAGATGTGACGGGAGTGAACTTGGTCATCGTGACCAGCTCCCTTTATCTCAGCCATCTTCCCCGTCTCCTGTTCAATCCATGAGATGCCTCAGAGGATCTGCCCCAAACATCCAAACGTTACAATGCCCAACGTCCCGTAACAGTCTGAGTACAGCGACAGAGAATCTTAAGCTTAATTAATAAGTTACAACAGATCTTCTAAAATAAGAGAGGCTATTTTTGATGTTGTTTGCTCAAAATCAATAAATCCACACGTGGTTGCTTCTGCATTTAGATGGCTTGGTATTTCCCTGGTTCTTTCCCTCATTCTCTCTGTTTCCAGATGGATTCTGTAGATTTAGGCAAGTCTTCCTGCATCACTGCTGAGTTTATTAGGGGAGAAATTTTGGTGAAATTTACCTTGTGCTTGCTCGGAGCTTATGTTGCATAGGGGCTCCATGTGCTTTTACAGAAGTGGCTCTGGGTCAGTGGGAGCACGCAATATTTTGCTCTGAGCCAGAGAACTGGGGCACTTATCACCTGGATTCAGGTGGAACACAGACGCCGTAGATAACAATTCTTTGATTAGTTGAAAGCAAAGATCAGGAATAGCTATCAGTCTAATGCCACAACATCAGTACCTTGTGCGGTCACAAGGTATACGGGCAAGGTGATTGATTTTGTCACAGGAAAGGCAGAATTAAAGACTCCCGTAGACCAAGGCAGCAGAGGCTTGCGAGGTGTCTTTGGGAAAGCATGCTGGCCTGTGGGAAACTTCAGTGTACCCAGCTGCGATCAGCTTTTTCCTTCTTAGCGCCATGGGACGAAGCTTTGTGAATTCTTGATGGTTTATGGTGCTCTTGCTTCTTTGTGTGCAGCTGCTGCTGACGGAACATGTACTGTTTATTGAACGAGTACACGCTTCAGTGGCTCAGCGTGTTCAGCAGCAGGGTCCTGTCGGCACTAATGCCTGCATTTTTGAATGCCCTCCATCTCAAAGGTGCTGAAGGGGTGACACATGAGGTCAGGAGATTAGAGGTGAATTGATTCAATGAAAATTTGAGGATTAAGGGGTTTTATCTTTACATTCATTGTGGATGACTAATGCAGGCAAATATTGGTTAAATGAAACCGTTAAGGACAGTGGTCATAACACACAGGCTGTGGGTGTAGTATGAGAAGGCAGTGCAACAAAAAAAGGTGAAGTAGGGATGATAGGTGAGAAAATGTTGAAAGTTCTTATTACGAATAATTTTTTTTTGCTCTGAACATGCTTAGAATGCCCATTTTCCTGCGTTTTTCTACACACACCCACTGCAATGTGGATTGGATGCTGTCTGTTGTTGAGGAAATGGGTTTTGAACTTGCAGCGATTCATAAAAAGCTGGCAAAGACTCTGAGTAAAGGTTCCTTCCCTTTCTTTGTAAGGTTTCTGTCACATAGGTGGTAGTCATGTGCGTGGAGTTCACAGGGAGATTCAAAACAAGACTGAAATATAACAACTGCTGCTTAGAGGAGGAAAACAAACTACTTCTGAACTAATCTAATCAATGCTGATTGGATTCCAGTATGTGCAGTATGTGGAAAGCCTAAACCAATTAGAAATAGCTGAAAATGCTAATTGGCACAGAGGCAATAAAAAGAGTAGTTCCAGTTTGTCACCTGATTACCTGTATCCATCCCTCACCTTTGAAATGCATGTGTGTAAATGCTTAGGCCAGATTTTTAAAAGAGGTTATTAGGTTATATTAGGTGCCACAGACGACCCGGGGCATATCGTACCCGACCTGAGTCAACACCCACGGCTGCCTTTGCAACACACAGGGAGAATTTATTGCCTACAAATGGGCTCTGCACAAACCAGTCACCCTGTTCAAGAGGCTGCTCACGTTAGTCCATGGAAAACGTTGGCAACAAGGTCACAAGCTTCACCTTGTTCTAGACTTCAGGCTCTGCTTGGTCAACTTTCTGCTTGGGATTTCCAGCCCTGGACCTTCTGCTGGGCTTTGACACCTCTGTGCCAACCCTTCCCCACAGAACTGCAGCCAGGGAGGAGGTGATGGTGCTCGTGTGTCTCATACCCGGGTAGTCACAGCACTCGGGCTTTGGGAAACCAGAGTTACTTTCCTCCCTCTGCCACTGGGGATCAGTGTCTCCAGTTCCCACATCCCACCAGCCAGCCGGGGGATCAGTCTGCAGCGTGTGGGCCTGCACAGAACATTCCTTATGGCCGGACCTAAAAAGAAGCCTTTTTTTTTCGGCAGTGTGGTGATTAGGGGAACAGAGGAGACCTGAATCAGTGACAAATTAAAGGGGTTATTCCCGCACTGGAGACAGCAAACCAGCACCTTCCTTTTCTTGGGTGAGCGCTCTGGCCATTGGGATGCAGGACGAAGGAGCAGCGATGACTGCTTCGTGCAGAGCCCAGCCTGACAGATGCCTTCTGGAAATCCTTATCCCATTGGGCAGACAAGCAACAGCCATCCAGATATTCAGCAGCAGAGGTGTGTGTTTGAAAATATTAGGCAGCAGTGAAGGTTTTGGGGCTATACCTGGTGAAAAAGCACCCATAGGTGGGAGTTCAGCTGCCCCGATTCTTTCGTTTCCCCAGTCCTATGCGAAAGCTTTCTTCTCCTTTATCAAACAGCAGACTCTTCTCATGATAAAATAATATTCAGAGTCCAGGCATTTACTTTTGCCTGGATAACATCTACAATTTTCCCCTCTTCTAGTAGGAGTTGGTTAAGGATGGCTTGTTCTCCGTTCTACACTTCTCATGCAGTAGGGAAAAGATTAGAGACATTTTTACGATACAAATTTTGCTTAGGAGCTTACAGGACTAATAATCATAAGCCCTTTGGCAGCCTCCTACATCTGTGGCTGCCTGTTCTGTGGTCCCAAAGGGCTGAAGGATTCCTTGTAAAATTCAGCTGTGCTTTATTTGTGTGTAGGAGAGGGAAGTAGCTAGACTGAGCTAGTGCTTAGTGTTGTAGTGATGTACAGGACTTAAAATTTGTCCAGTGGCAAGAAAAGAGGAGAACACAGTAGTAAAAACACTGGCCTCTTTTTTCATGGATTTGTCCATAGAACCATCTATTGGATTGATTTGTTTGGTTGTTTTGGTTTTTTTTTTTATGGTGAAGTGCCAACACGGAAGTCAAGTCCCTCAAACTTGACAGATGGCCATAAATTCTGAGTTTTCTATTTCTGAGCACTTAATCCAAAAGAATTTGGTGCCAGTTCAGCCTTACCTCCCAGAGCTATGAATTCCCAGAAGAAAATAGGGGCCACTGGTCCGTTAAAGTAGCATTCAAAGCTGTTACTCATGTCGAAAACATGAGTATATCTGAGTATATAGTGAGGAGAAGGGATTAGAGTGGTGGGAGAATTACAGCCCTGTTTCTCCAGACTTTGAAGCCCGGTGTCATCATGGTGCTTTCAATTGCAACAGGATCGCTAATACCAAAAAATACGGGATGCTTCAGCGTATACCAAGCATTATCTACTTCTGTCCAGCCATTTGCACCTGCATGTGGAGAGTTTCCTACTGGAAGCATCTGGCTCTGCTCTGTGCTGCCTTGCTGAATTGTAGCCTGCTGGCTTCCCGTGTTTGTGAACTGACGTGCCGCAGTAATTAAATCAGTCTGATGGGTTTTCATGCCTCCATTTTGATACCTCCAGGCATACATCATCAGTTTTAACTTGAATATTCTTTTTTTTTTCTTTTCAGGACCTTCTATCCTTCTCTCTTAGAGATGGTAAGTTGACCTAGTGCTTGTTCTTTGTAAGGATAATGTAGATGAGTTCACATCTGATACCTTAAAATGCACAGAGAGCTCAAGGGACCATCCTATTTGATCTTAGCTTCCTCTACAGCAAAAGCAGCACACTCCTCCCTGTGTCCACTACAAGAAAAGCAACTATTCTATTAGGAATGATTAATAATACCTGTTGAAAATTGAACAACTGTTCACCTCCTTACCTTCACAAGCCGTGCGGTGGCGTGCAAATGTATGTGATGGCAGAAAAGTTCTGAGCTGAAAGACCCAGGGTGGGGTGCTTGTTCTCCAGGGTTTGCAGGGGAGCAGGTGACCTCTTCCTTTAGGAAGGCAATAAAGCTGTTAGGAAAATCTTGGCCTAGCGAATCTTCTGCGAATCGCTTGATGCCTAAAAAGTAAAAAAAAAAAAACTATTCAGGGAGTAAATTCCAGAGTATTCTGTGCAGCCTGTTATAAATAAATGTGATTTACTTGTCTATTATAGCACGCGTAAAACAATTTTCTGGTTTACAATCCATAACATGGATTAGTCTGATAAAATTAATGAAATAAAGACTGCCTACTGAACAAAATGTTCATTTCTAAAAGAAGCCTGGTTTATATCACTACTTGCGTTTTTTAAATCTCTGTTTTAACACGTTCTCACAGGAAAGAACCCACTGGTTGCTGATTAGCCTGTTTCTCTGCAGAACAAAACACCCATTTTTGTTCTTGCTTTATTTTTAATGGAAAATTGACAAGTCAGTTATTGCAAAACTGCTTATTTTGCTAGGTTGGAATTTAAAAGAAATATATTTTCAAGCCTTGCTGACTTACTGCCAAGCTGGCTAAGTAGAAAGCTGAGCTGTGTGTTAGCAGGCAGGAAGCAAGAAGGCTGCTCGTTAAACACCTGCTTGGGCTTGCAAGACGTGGCACGTATCAGGGATGAAGTGAAGATAAATATTATCCTTATTTCTCAACTAAGCACAGGTCTTAAAAGTGGCGTCATTAAAGCCTGCCGAAGTAGTTTAGTATCTTGGTAATGATGGTAATAAATAAATAGACTTAATAGATTGCCAAATGCCATGTTTGATCTACGTGCGGCCGGTATCAGAAACATACTTTGTAGCTGGGTCTTGCTGGTGTTTTCACCCACCTCTACAAAAGCAACTGCATTTTTCATCCCAGAGTGCACCAAGACCCCTTTACAAAAGCCTACCATCAGGGAGCAGCAGGTGCTACTGAGAGAAACACATTAAAAAAGCAAGGATTTGTACAAATAATATAAAATCCATTACATTTAAAAAGTCTTTTCTCTAAGAACACCTGCTTACAAGCCCAAGAGTAATCACGTCTCCTGTCACACGTTGTCTGAGTGCACTGTCCACTCCTGCGTCTGCAGCAGTGAAATACAAATGCAAACAATTGCCAGTGATGCTGCTAGGTGAGCTAGTGGGTAGCTTTGAACTCCAGGGTCCCTCTAGTTGCCAACAAGACGAACTGAATATAAAGCTTTTGCATGAAGGTGCGTTTCTACAAAATACTGTATCCTGTGCATAGCTGAGGTGTACTGTGTCAGGTAACCCATACAGATATATATAGATATATATTTGATATTTCTGGTCTTGCTGCAGCGCTTCTCTGTCGAGAGGAAAGATGCAGCCTATCCAGAGCCAAAAGGCCTCTGTCACAGAGGATGAAGACCAAAGGACTTGAGATCCTTTTTCTGCCGTAGAGGCAATTACCGGGTGTAGGGACTCTATTCGCAGGATGAGGTTTGCAGGGAAGAAGGATTTTCCATTTATTGCTCTCTTCTCTAGATAGTAGGAGTTCTCTTCAAATACGTGGAAGACGGAGAGGGGCTGAGGGAAGGGGCTGTGCTTGTATGTGACATAGCACAGCTGAGCGCGCCACTCGCTCTTTAATCTGGTTCAATGAAGACTGATGGATTCCCCGGGCCTCCCTCTGTTTAAGGGTACTACGATGCTCGAGCGAGGGTGTTGATCTGCCACATCACCTGGCTGCTGAGAATCCCCTTGGAGGAGCTGGAAGTCCTGGAGGAATCTCTGCTTGAAAGCCTGAAGGAACAAAAAGAGGAAGAGTCAGAGTAAGAACGTTTGGGTTGACTATGGGATGAAAAAACACTGCTGGTGCTTGAAAGCTTAGCAGTAATTACTTGTGCCTAAGTCCAGTCTCTGATCGTTCCCCCCATGGTCCTTAGCGTCATCATTTATGGCTTGATTAGGGTTGCAGAGCCCTCATGGTGCTTCAGCTGCAGAGAAGCATTCTTAAAATCAGAGCTGAGACCCAACCTTGCAAGCTGGAAGAGGCTGCTCTGCACTGAACTCCCTCATCTCCTTGTTCCAGTTTCCTCTCCCAGACTGTAGATTATGCTTAAATACACCGGAAAGATCTTGTGTCTCTTATCTCTTGGCCTGTATTCTTCAGATAGAACTGCCTCCTGCAGAATGAGGTTCCTATAAATTTCAGGATTAGACCCTCAGCTGCTGATTTTCTATGGATCTGTCCTCTGTGTCCTGTTTAAGAGACAGCTGTCTAGCTGAAGGTAGATTTCTGAGAGCAACAACCTGCACCTTCAGACACTTACAGACCTGACTCCGGTGTTATTAATATAAGATTAATTCTCTTAATCACCGCTTCTTAGATGTGAAACAGCCAAAAAGTTGATATCTATAAGAAAAAAATTGTTGTGCTCCACTTATCAGGCGGGAAGTGTGCGAAGGTTTAGCAATAGGTAAGGCAGTAACCATGTCCGTAGTGCACTTTCAAGGGACTGTTGAATATTTTTATCTGTCGACTCAGCAAACAGGTTATGAGATTAACCCGAGTGCTAATAAAGGCTCTAATCAACGTCCCTGACACAGTACAGGTCAGATGTTACCGTGGGGTCCAGCACATGACACGTGTCTTTCTGTTATAGCTTTATTTAAATGAAGCTGAACTTCATAGCACACTGTAAAAAGGGAAAGTCAAAATAATCTCAGAGATCATGGACTGCTAAACAGGACACCGTTTGGCATGCAGGAGCAAGGGCTGGTATTAATGGGGACTGTTTCGCTGTGGCTTGCGGAAACAAGCTCAATCCTGGGCCTTTGGCGCAGGAAAACACCGATGCTGAGGGTGGGGTGTCGCTTGCAAAGATGATGCTCCAGTACCTGCTTCTGCATCAACTGGACTGCGGCTCCTGCAGCACAACCCCAAAAGACAGCAGCGTGTCTCGTAACGTACCAGTGCGGCTTTCCAACGCTGCAGCTAGCCCAGGGCGTTTGTGCCCATCGGCTGCAGCGAAAGCCGCGGATTTCAGTCTTGGTCTTTGCCCAAGTTGCAGCCATGACAGTAAATACCTATTAGATAAAAGGGGGGAAAAAATCTTCATAGTGAGAGTAGTCCAAGACTGCAGTGCCAACACATTTGTTACTGCAGTGCTAAGACAGAGCTGAGGTTTGTGGGGAATCGATGGCCCTTTGTTTGTTTTCAAGGTAGGAGTCAGTGGGGGAAGGAAGCAGAACATCAACCTGTCACCGCTTTCACCTGACAGACTTTTGGGGGCAGGGATACGTTAACATCTGCTCAGGATGCTTCCAGCTTTGACCATCCACTGCAAGAGGTTTTGGAGCAGTAACAACCGAACAGGGTTGTGGCACCTTCGGGTGGTTTTTACTGATATTTGTTAACAGGTTTTGCCCCTGCCTTTGCTGCTGTGGTTAGCCCAGAACGTGCGAGGTTAAATGTACAGCCATCTATAGAACAATGCTCCAAACACTTAAATCAATATTACTAGCACCAAACCTGCTCTGACTTGCAGGTATGAACCTCTGTTCTGTACGAAGCTGGAAAATGTGATGTCAGTTGCTCACTAATGAGTGCTCCTGCCACTTTTCTTTGGAAAATGACCTGAAATTCCACCTATAAAATCTCTCTGAACATAATCTGTGGTTCAGGCAAGAAGCTGCAGATCCGAGATCACTGAGGGTAGAGAAGTACCAGAAGAGGCAGTTAATTACCACAGTGGATAACAAGCAGTCTGGTAATCAAGTGATACTTGTAATGCAGAAGCTATTAGGAGAGCAACTGTCAAAAGCAGTTGCTAGCAGCTATGGAAGGAAAGCGATGACAGGTAGAACTTCCCCCGACAGTACTTTTACTTACTGCACCTTCAGGCAGGATTTAGCTGCAAACTCTCTTTCCACCCACGCAACTCAAATTGCTCATTATCACAACTAAAGCCAGGTTGGCCGTATTTCAGCTCTCGATGCCATTCTTTTCAGGCCGAGCCGACGGCACACTGACGATAAAAGCTGATGAACCACTATATAGGACAGAAATGGCCGGATTTTGCCAACTTAAGTATTAACAGTCAGACTGCAGCACTTGTTTAAAGAACTCTAGGAGCATTTTTTCCCAAAGCCAGGCATTCAGATTGGTGACTGCATGCACAAACTAGGGCACATCCATGACCGTGGGGTTGTGGAAAGCGAACTTGGTCGTACAGACATTGCTGGAGAGGCGGCCGTTGCAGGCTGCGCTGGTGTTCTCCGCAGGCAGCTACGTTTGCAGCTGCAGAAGGTAACACACGGTGTTTTTTCAGAGGGTCTCTCTGGAGACAAAGGCTCTGTGCCATGCAAGTCAGTGGGAGTTCTGCCATTGACTTCAGCGACACAGGGATTGCACCCACTGTGCTTCATTCTCCCCCTGCTGTGTTTTACAAAGCCGCATATTGTTTGGGACTCATCGAAAATTGTCGTTATCAAAATTACAGTGCGCTTAGGGGGTTCCAGGAAGGATTAGGCAATTATATGGATAATGAAAATCCACAATTAGGCTAGGATTAAGAGGGAAAATATCCAAGTTTGGAAGCAAGATAAATTCTCATGTTTCAAGGCCCAGATTAACTGCTGCGTAAGCAGGCTAGAAGGAACCTTCCTGCGTAAACAACTTATTCCAGTATCTGTTTCTCGCACTTTCCTCTGAAGTGGGAAGTATTTCTTGTAAGAGAGAAACCAAAGACAGTGGAGAGGAGCCAAAAGTAGTGCCTAATAAGTGATACTTGTTCCTTTTAGGTTTATTTACCTGTTTCTGATAAGCTTGTTAACATGTAGCTTAAATGTCACAGACAAATGAACTAACAACCGTGTTTAGTACCTATTATATTATTAAATTTCGATGTCCAATTAGAAAATGGCTCAATATAAACACTGTTGTTGGAAAACAGATTAATTCCATCTCTGTGTTTGTTAGCACAAATTACCCCTATTCCCTTTTGTTTCAAACGCTTTTCCCTTTTCCCATTTACCTCTGTTTTTTAAGACATGTAGGCAGTATACAGTTACTAAAATGCTTTTGACTTTTTGTTTCATTTTTTTTTACAAGCTTCAGCCCTGTTAGGAAGGGTTTTCCAAGTAAGTAACATCTGTTGGCTCAGTTTAAATCTGTGGGTTTATGTCTGCGCTCATGAATCTCAGTGTGTTGTCACAGTCCACGCCTGCATGTTACTTTTTACCGGTCCCGGTAGGGAAATTACACTGAGGAGAATAAAAGGAGATTCTGATGCGGCATTGTTATCCGTCAGGCTTTTCCATCGGCTTTTAAGCTTCTAATCCCCCCACAGAACTGCAGAAGTATCAAGAAGAAAGAAGGAAAGAAGAAAAAAGCTGAAGAGATACCTGCTGATCGGTTTGGCAAGCGTTGGGGGTGGAACAGTGATCGGTGAGGCTGCCCTGGGCATTTTGGAGACTTGCTCCTGAATGGCATGCACAGCACTAGGGGCAGGAGGGGAGGGCTGAATTACACACCCAGCAACAGAAAACAACGTACCTTTTAGCCCAAGCTGTAAGTTTGAAGTGTTCACTGCTTTTCTTTGCCAGGCTGAAGGTAGTAGGTCACTATACCAAAAAAACACCCCCCAAAAAACCCCCAAAACCCAGACCCCAAACCACATGAATATGAAACTGAAAGAATTAGCTGGAAAAGTTACTGCAGTGTAGCTTCACTGGCTGGGGGAAGTATTAAACGATAGTCATCACGCATAAGAAAATGTTTTCTCTTCTTTTGCCCTTGTGTTATAAGAGCATCAGATCTTCAACTCTAAATTCAAAACAGTGTGAGACTAGATCAATGTTTCCTAAGCAAATAGGGCACAGCTCACCCCAGTCTACCACACATTCTTCCTTTGACTTTTAAATTATTCCTCATTTTTACCAAAGTCAGTCAAAGAATCTGTGCAGAGATCAGGGCCTGGGGAGGGTCTCAGAAAGCCCCTTTATTGGTGATGCAAAAAAGGTCATTGTTTGTGCTTTTCGCTAGCGTTAGCAGTGCTCACACAGCCCAAGGAAGGGGCTGGCTAGTTTTTGCAAGTGATATGAGTTTAGTGATGTTACTTGTTGCATCTTCAGGCTTGACAGGGGGTCTTGCTGCCCCTCTGGTTGCTGCAGGAGCTGCTGCTATCATCGGAAGCGCCGGAGCAGCTGCTTTAGGTTCGACTGCTGGCATTGCTGTCATGGCATCCCTTTTTGGAGCAGCTGGAGCTGGCCTTACTGGTAAGAGAGTGACCATGCATTTCTCAGCTACTGAGGGATGGGATCATGTCTGCAAATGCAGAGCTAATGATTTAACTGAGCTCTGCAGAGCAAAGGGAGCAATTTGAGGTGTAATCTTACAACTGTGAAATTTTTGTTTCAATGCTGATTAAGATACTGTGTAGAGCCTGATGACCAAGTAGGACAAGAATATTTGGTATGTGGCTAATGAAGGAAATGAAAGGTTGATGCTTTGGATTAGAAAGATGCTGCCATGGAGAACAGCAGCTGTTACAGCTGATGTGTGGTCTGCAGCAAAACAGCCTTCTGCTGGGATTCCCTCAGATCACACAAGCTCAGAAGGATCACTTCGGCGCCAGCCCAAGCTCTAAGTAATGCATGGACTGGCTGGGGGTTTTGGAAAGGAAAAAAACCCTATCCAAATTACCCTAGTAGCTTCTTGGGAACTTCTGCTGTTAGCAGAGTCTGTCCTTGCTGTGTGGTTTCTAAGCCTCGTGTTTCTGCCTTGCTGTGTGTAGGATACAAGATGAAGAAGCGTGTGGGAGCCATAGAAGAGTTTGAATTCCTCCCACTTACTGAAGGGAAGCAGCTTCATATCACCATAGCAATTACTGGGTGGCTGTGCACTGGCAAATATGGTAAGAACGAGATGAGGAAGCTGAGAGGAGCCTGGAGAGCCGTGTCTGTGTTCCGCTCCAGGCAGCGTTTGTGCTCTCCTAGCACCGTGTCTTCCCCAGGCTTGCATGGCCTGATGACTGAAAGAGATCAACTCCCTACCTGAGACTTTGCAACCCAATCTGCAATCCCAACCAAAACAGAGGGAAGAGAGAAGGCAGCAAATTGGTAGTGATAGTAGGATTGGAAGCAGTCATAGCAGGATGGTTTCTGTTAACAAATGCTGTCTGGTTTTGCAAGGAAAGCTCTGCCTGGGGTGGATGATTTCCAGCACTAGCACAAAGTGTCTCACCTATCTCTGAGACCTTACGTTTATCATCCAGCAATTAACAGAAAATAGTGTCTTTTTTCTTTCTCGCTATCTGCCAGCTAATGAGGTTTATTGGCAAGAAAGTTCTGTCAAGCAAACCTTGTTAAGCACAGCACTCCGGAGGTGAACTTAGAGGCAACAACCTTGAAAAGTCTGTGGTGTTTCAGTTTCCAGTGTAGCTTGTCATATAACATATGTCAGCTGTCCGCTGATGTGTTCAGCAACCTGACTGAACAGCTGCCAATTTATTCGGAAGCATCATGATTAACGCTGGATATCATCAGTGCAGAACGACGTCTCTGTCCTGTTGCTTGGTAGGTTGCAGCTTGCTGTCAGGGTAAGGTTATCTTCGCTTTGCAGCGCTGCACTTTGGCTTTTCTCATTGTCTGCTTGCCAGGGGTCCAAATCCTTGGGGTTGGAGGGCTCCCAGGCGCTGTTACAAAGACAAGCGTGTCCCTTCAGGAACCTTTTTTTGTCTGTTTGCCCTTAAAAGGGAGTTAAAAATGACACACATTCTTCTTCCATAACTAGCAGTCTGCTATAATGTTTAAAAAGGCAAAACTAGAATTGTCCTCCGTTTTCCTCCTTACAGCTGTGTCTGTCTATTTACCCACTTGCACGACTCCTTAAAATGGAGGGACTGAGGACAGGATTTTTACGGAATTTGCTGCCTTGTGATTGTTTTGCTGCCAGTACCTGCCCAAGTCTGACGGCGCGTTGTGTGGTCTGGCACGGGGCTGTCTCATGCCACTTTGGTCAGCAGCTGCGTCAGCCTGCCCTGCGTCGGTTGGGGAAAGAACAGTGTGGGAAGGGTTTTAGTTAATAAAAATGGAAATTCTGCTCTGCCCTTCAGAGTTCATCTGCCACTAATAGCATTGCCAGGCCCCTCCTGGCCACTTAGTACAAGCTACAGTACAAACAGGAGAGAGGACGGCTTAAAAATTGTTCTTTCGGACAAAAATTAGACGTGCACAGTGGAAATTATGCATTGTCTCTCAAACATCCCAGCACTGCTTTTGATGAGCAACTGGAGTGGCTAACGAGGCTAGACAGCAAAGTAAAAATATTTGCAGTCTGGATCTGCAAATGCAGATTCCTTGTTTTCAGACAGGACCATTACTGCAATCCTTGCCCACCTAACTGAAGTGCTGGGAAGATGCTCTGCGACAGATTTTGACAAGATCTTGCATATTTTCCGTGCTTCTGGTCCCATTGAACTCAGTCCATGCAGCCCTTCAGCACTTCATCGTTCTCAGGACAAGCCCTCCTTTGGTCCGTGTGAGAAGATGGAGCTGCAGGACTTGGCCTGATGTCTGGTGATAGGAGGAACGTCCTGAATTCCTGACATAATTAGTGTTAATGTCCATCTGTCTTGGCAGTCTCTGAGTCAATTGAATGGGTCATGAATTCTGAGCCTGTCCACGCTGAAGGCTGTTTGCCAAGGCAGCACGATTATTTCCAAAGCCCAAATTTATTGCAAAAAAAAAAAGGTGGAAATATGGAGTCTAAATCTCACAGTATTTTTAAATATGATTCCTCGTTATCACGGTATATTAGTGTATTCCAGTGTCCTGCCAGTCCTTTTCCGATTCTTTGTTGGACTCGTCTTGCCAGGAGTCAGCTGCTGTTGGGTTATCTCTGAACACGAATTCCATCTTTGCAACCTTTCTCAGGGAGCTTCACAGCACCGTGGAGCAGCATGTTGCAATCGAGTGAGCAGTATTGTCTGGCTTGGGAATCCAAGTACTTGATGGAGCTCGGCAACACCTTAGATTCCCTGCTGAATGGTTTTGTGAACATGATGGCTCAAGAAGCTCTAAAATTCACCGTCTTGTCGGGTAAGAACCTAATCGTATCAGATCTGTTTGAGTGGCTCTTGTGCAGTTTCACTGTTGGTGCCTGTTTAAAGGAGTTTTCCTAAACCAGGAAGGTTTCTGAGAAGACATCTCCCTTGGCAGTGTTGGCACCGCCCTGCAGAAGTGGCCTGAGAACCTTCTCTGCCACACCTGTAATTTAGATATGCTTTCCTGAATTGCTGTGCCTCTGTGTCATTGACTCGATCTTTTAAAATTACAGCTGGAAACACCTTCCTTCATGCGTGACTGTGTTTATTTCTCTATGTCATTACACTGTGTTTTACTGCTTCACATAAACCCTTCAAACATGCAGGTTACATTCATGCATAGTGTCTGTTTGCCTCCGTATCAGAACATCAGATTCTTTCTTATCTTTAGTCTAGCAAAACATTTCTCAGATCAGCTCTTGAGAAAGAAGAACTGGAAATGACAAAAGGTCCTAGGTTTAGCTTTTAACTTCAGTGAACCGTCTTGCTTTTGATGTTTCCTAAGAGCAGCCCAGATCTGCGTCTATGCTGTGCTGCTTGCTTTGTGTGTTGCAGGTATTGTGACGGCCTTGACTTGGCCAACTTCACTCTTGACTGTTGCCAGTGTCATTGACAACCCCTGGGGAGTGTGTCTCCATCGGTCTGCTGAAGTAGGCAAACACCTAGCACGCATCCTGCTCAGCCGACAGCAGGTAATTAATTGGCTAGAAATTATCCAAGAATAATGGCTGGAAGGGATTTGGCCCACGGAGGTTCAGTTTTATAGTCATGCTAGTTACCTATCAAGGGGTATCTTTCCAGGGAGACAAAAATTAATAATGAAAATGAAAAAATGCTGCATGAAAGTGACCAGAGTGTATCTGGCTCATTGGAGAAAAATAAGAAGTCCAACTGAATCAGAGGAATCCTGCTAAGATTCGTTCCTTTTAACTCAAAGCTTTTCTAAATGAAGAAGAAGAGATCCAGGTTATAAATGACAAGTGGCTTGACCATGTCACCAAACAGCCAGGTCAAGCCACTCTGAAAACAGAAAGTAAAGAGAGCTGAACAGGAAAAGAGAATACAGAGCGTTAAAATACTCACTGATGATTAGGGGGCACTAACAAAACAGCGTAAGGGAAGACTGCGCAGCAGCAGATGCCCCGCGAGCCCTGGTTTTGCCTACAGAGAAGTAGAATGGGCTGGTGCCTGAAAGAAGTGACAGAAGTTATTAAGCCTCCCTGAGGAGGCTTGCAAAGGCATCTCTGCCCCCCAAAAGCCTGCCATTATCTGCTGGGCTATCACTGGCATGGAGGGAGGCTGTTTCTTGCTGGCCACGTGTTCGTCTCATAGGCACCCTGGTCCGGGATCTATTACAGAGGAGCCCTGCGGGAGCCCTGGCCCCAGAGCTGCCTGTCGTAACAATGTGAAACAGCAGAGTAGAAATGAACTGGATTTCTCATAAAAATACAATCCCAGGAAAGGCAATAAATTTTATTTCATACAAGCCCTTTGTTTTGCTTGGGGACGTTTGTTACTGCCTTTTAAGCATTCGCTATTGTGAAAACACACATTCCAGTGTGCTGGAGCGTCTCAGGCGAGCTGGCGTGGTGTCTAGGGACTCCATCGCACACCTACTCCCTGGTTAATACAAAGACCATTTGTCACTGTTGTTCAGATTAGGCTTCCTTTGATCTTATAGAAAATCTTACCAGGCTATTGAAAATAAAAGCATACCGCACATCAGTTTTAGTAACAGCCACACAGTGCTGCTGTCATTCAGTCTTAAATCTAGCAGCGGTCAATATTTTTGTGTTGCAGCCACTTCTTCTGTTTAGTGAAACATTTCTAGGAAAATTTTGCTCCTTGAATTAGGCTTTCATTTGGAAATTTCAAAACAATGACAGCATCTGTTCTGTTTCTGTTTGAAACATCTGCTTTGATGTAACTTCTGATCATTAGAGTCTGTCAATTCTGAATATCAAAAAATAGGAGATACTCAGATATGCAGAATTCTCAATATTGAGCTTTGAGGATGCTTAATCCCTTTGAAATCAACCAAATTGCTCAAATGTTTAAAGGATCATGCACAAGCCTAAGTGCTTTGTGTGTCAGGGTCTCAGGGATCCTGTGGCCAGTCTCTCTTTCTAGGTCCAGACCAGTATTTGATGGTGTTTTCTCCTTTCCTCCTTTCTTAGGGCAAGCGACCTGTCACACTGATTGGCTTCAGTCTAGGTGCAAGAGTCATTTACTTCTGCCTGCAGGAAATGGCTCAAGAAAAAGGTAAAATTCACCTTCTAACTTTTTTCTCCTCTATTTTCCTTGCCGCTGGCAGCGAGGTTTTTCTTCCAAGAGGAAGAGTTCTTCTGGAACAGAGCTTGGGTCTTTTAGGGTAGGACAAAAACCTAAAAAAATGGTTTTGAAATGCATTTGGAGCCAACTTCTACTGTCATTTCCACCAGTTCAGTGGGTTAAATCTGCTGTCTGCACTCGTGGTGCTCCAGTCTGTCAGTTTGGTCTCCAGTCCGTAAACAACAACTTGACATTTTGTGACATTCGACTGCTGGATCAGTCTGTGAGCTGCCCACGCGGCACTGTGATCTTGGCAGAGGATGCTTTGCCTTTATTGGAAGCTCTCTGTAGCTATTGTATCTGATTCCCTGAGTCCTCCCTTCCATTTAAGTCACTGAAATGCCACTGTCATCTGCTATTTTCATGGTAATTTTTCCCCAAAGTCAAGTATAAAACCATCTGTCGATTTATTACCCATTGTGGTTCTGTTTATTAATAGATTCTATTTTTAATTTAGAAAAAGAATAAAACCATTATGATCCGTGGATGTAAATTGCGTCTTGGAGTTGAGTCAGCAGTGAGTGTGTGTGTGCAGCCTGCCTTCCCCCCTGCGTAGCTAATGTAATTCATTAACCATTTAGCCTCACAAAGAGTTGCTAATAGATAAGGAGCTTTGTAAAGTAAAACGTTCCATAAAGTCCAAGAAGGGGGGAATAGAGTCAAGCGAGGACGGAGAAGGTCAGCATTTGTTCTGCTGACGGCTGTATACCAGAACTTCACTTCTGGTTTAAGTCCTCAAATACAGGAATTCTGTTCTCAAAATAAATCTAATCGAATCCAGAATGGTCCTAAAGGAGTTATACTGAAGCCAGAACCCAGATCCCAGTCTGGCCCTAGATCTACTCTTTTTGTGTCCTAAGAACGCCAGGGGCTGGGATATTTTCAGGCTTTTATTTAACGGCCTGCAGCCTCTCGCTGGAACAACATGGACCATAGCTAAGTCATACGTGAAAGGAAATCATTAGGGGTCTTTAAGGTTGGCTGCCACTCTAAAGAAATCTAAGTGTCGTAATTATGTATGATAGCAGCTCCCCACTGTACACTAATTTTTCAGTTCCTTAATTGAATTATGAAAGCTGAGCTGTTTGCGAGATGGAAAGCAGCCTGTTTAGCGCAGATTGCCAAGGCGTTCTTCACATGCACATTCCAGCGCAAGCCACAGAAGGAATGGAGCTGGGACCTGGGACATCTGAGACTGATTTGGGTTTGGACGTGGATGTCTCACACAAAAGAAACACGAGGCCTAGTCATGCAGGCCTTTTGTAGCCAGATGGCAGTGGCATTTCTGAGGACAAATAACTAATCATGGATTATCCAGTGAAACGCCATGGCAGAAACTCAAATTCTGTTAAAAGAAAATACTCTTCCGCAAAGCAATGAAATAACCTTTGGGATACTTCATCACAAATGACTTTGGAAGCCAGAGCTTAGTAGATTTCCAGAAAATGGTATTAGAGCAGAAGAGGTAGTAATGACCCGTCAGAGACAAGGTACTGCATGGGGCGATCACTGGTCTGATTCCTTCATCACGATTCCCACGGGTTTTAGTAATGAGAAGTGTAAACAAAACCAGCTAGTGGCTGTTAGCACCAGAACGTGAACCTTGAAACCAAACTGTGTGGGGTAGGAGCGCGGTATCGCACGTTACCCATTTCTCTGGCACTGATCACAGTGTCCTACCGAATTACCTGTGTGACCAGAATCAGCACTGGGTTATCACCTCTGCTGCGGTTAGGTGTCGGGAACGCGGCTGCCAAACTCTGCCATGGGACTCTGCCAGGGAGAGCCAAGGGCCACCCCTGTTCGCTGCTCCGGGAGGACCAGCATGATGAGGTGCTCTCCTCTTTGCCCAGTGAGCAGAACCCCAAAGGCACAGCAGAGCCCAGCTCCTGAGGCCTCTGGGTCAGCCTGGATCTTCCGTGCCTTTTCTGGACAAATCATCTTAGCAGTTTTTAATTTTTGCCCATCAGTAATTCCTTTTTTTTTTTTTCCTTTTTCCTGCTTGTGCAGGCTTCGCCGTTCTTCATCATCTAAAAGATTTGTAAACTGCAAAATACATTTAATTTGTCTAGAGTGTCAGCGACTGTGTAGGCCAGTGATCTGTTCTCAGGTTTCTGTCCTCCTCTGTCAACACTCAAATAAAATGATTATTTTTCTAAACATTTTTGTTCTGAGCAAGAAATAAGCTGTACAAAGGACTGGAGAAACAAAAGCTTCCAATACCTTGCCCAAATGTTCGGGCTCCCAATGAATTAGCTGTTTGTTTATTCAGTTGGCTCACGCTGTGGCCATGGAATTTAGTACTTTGGTTGGAACGAGCTCCCCGTTCACAAGGCTCTGGGTTTTATTTCATTGCCCATGATTATGGGAACAGGATGTTATTGCTCACAGATCACACTAACAAAATTGAATGGCTCTTTGCTGTTCTCTTGATTGGTGCAAAATTTGCTCTGCAATAAGAAATGATACCACGAGAGCTCTTTTGGATCGTTGTCAGGCGCTGGGATTTACGCTGCAGAGAGGGATGCAGGCGCTGCGGGCAGCTCCATGTGTCCTTTCAGCTATCAGGGAAAGGAAACCAATTGCTTTACGTTTAAAAAGTCTAGCCAGGCAGCACCGCTCCGTCATTCCGTGATGGGGTGCCCAGTCATTCTCACCTTCACTTCCCCTTAAACTTCAGCATATTATTTTTCAAATGCCAGCCCGAGAGCAGTTTAGCTCTCCGCTTGGGAAGGCTGGTCTCCCACGGGTGGGAGTACGGATCTGGCACGCTGTGCCCATGAGCCTCCCGAGACGTGCGCTGCTGTGAATTTCATTGAACTGCTGTGGCATCCAGTGCTTCATCTCTGCTTGCAAGGAAGGTTTATGAACATATATTAACGTATTGTTTAAGAGTTTAAGAAAGTAGCAGAGCTGCCCAATATTTCTCATTCAATCATTATTTCTACTGGAATACCCCAGCTGCAGCTGTCTGATAAGAGAGGAACATTTATTATGCTTAAAAGTCAATATTCCTTTTCAGCATATCATGCCCTGGGCATTCAGTTTAAAGCACCCTTCAAGAAAATCTAACTAGTTTGATGGATTATCACTTCGTATTGGCAAATGCCTTCATTGTTGCGAGTTCCCAATCAATATTAAGGATTTGGAGGTTTTCTGTTGCATGTACAGGTCGTGTTTTTCACTCTGGTGAAGGACTGGTGTGGGCAGAGTTTATCGTGCTTAATATATGAGAGCATTTGCTCACTACATGGAATGTCAGTCCCTTTCGCCTGTTTCAAAGCGTAATAGTTCAGCTCTGTGCCAACCCAGATCAATACATCTGTGGAAAGAACTTCCCACAGGTTTGCTGCTTGAACTCCATCTCTCTGGGCAGAGGCCACTTCTCCCTCTTGCCATCAGCCCAGTTCCTTTCACTGTCTCAGGATCTCTAATTTTCACACTGACTCCAGCTGGAACTGCAGACACTTAACATTTGCACAAAATGATGTTTAAGATCCTCCTTTTCATTGTTTCTGTCTTTAAAATTTAAACCCCAGAAATGACGATTCTCCTGCAGTGCACATCTGAACGTAGCCCTCCTTCACGTACGTGTACAGTTATATTTTCTGATCTGTCTTCTAAATCTGAGCTTTTCTGCTGTTATTTTAATAGACTCTCAAGGGATCATTGAAGACGCGGTTTTACTGGGAGCTCCAGTGGAAGGAGAAGCCAAGTACTGGAAACCTATCACAAAAGTGGTGTCGGGCAGGATCATAAACGGTTATTGCAGGTCTGTACGTGCTCAGTCCCCTGCTTCATTAGCCTGGCGTCACTTTGAAACGATTTTGTACATTTACCCCTTTTCAACATTTTGTAAGTGAATAATCGTTCAGCTGGTGAGTGGGTTGATTCAGTCGTGCCAGAGACAGCAGTGCCAGAGCCTCTTCCCTCCGGAGGTCTCCCCCTCAGATTATTTGGAGATGACGGGCTTCAGGAGACGCTCAAAGGCTGTTCAGTCTCCAGCTCTTGGCTGTTTGCGATGCGCAGTTAACACTGGAAGCCTGAGGTGCTCAGTAGGGTTCATTCGGTGGCAGTGTTAGATCACCCTGGCAGCTTAAAGCTGGGTCAGTGTGTTTGTGTGCAGAATTTGACATATTCTGAGGCCCCTTTAAGTCTCGGCTTTAAGGACAATAAATACGGCCGTTAAGTTCACTGACAGTTAAAGAATGTGAGTTAAAATCTATAAAAGCTTTGAGATAGAATCCTCTAGGGACTGCTTATGGGGAACAAGATGTGAAAGTTGCAATGGAAGGGAAGGAGCTCAAGCAAATTGGTGATTTTTTTGTATCTAGCGTTAGTTTCTGGCCAAGATAGTCCACAGGAACACGATATTTTACTTACAAAGAAGGTGTAGCTGGAATAGCTGCAGCAGATATGAAGGCTGTGAAAGAACAGAAAGGTTACCTTGAAGCCAAATATCAGCCTTTTAAAACTGTGCAGACAACTGCTGTGCAGAGTTGTGAGAGCTGCTGGGGGAGAAAAGGGAGATTCAGAGGCACGAAACAGCTGAAGCAATCTTATAAAAACTATTAAACATTCAAGTGACAGTATCAAATCTAGGGCCTGTGTATTGGAAGATAATTGTGACAGGAACACTGCTCACCAGCACAATTAGCAGAGGGGACATTAAAATGAAGGAACGAAGCAGGGAACACTAAGAGCATGAGAAAATAAATTGAGAAATAACCAGGCGAGGAGATTAGCGAAGAACATGTAAGTGCAAGTCAAGGCAGCGTATAAAGCTGTGAGCCCTCGGGTCAAGGACAGCTGAAAACGCTGTTGGTACTTCCCATACACACGCACACCTCTGTGCCTGCCTACAGCCGTGTGAGATGAGGAAGTACTGTATTACTGTGCACCTAACACAGTATATTAATCTCCAAAGAAGGACTAATAAAAGATTTAAAAGCATTCAAGATTAAACCAAGAAATTATTAATCCCATCCGTCAGTTAGGCTGAAAATTGTTGCTTTTGTCCTTTTTTTGGATCCCAGGAAGTTTATGGATGCTGGATGTGCACACCAGCTACGGTATCTGTTCGTGTGACATAAGGAAAAAGCAATTGCTGCCTCCTTGGGAGTGCTTCTGTGTTCCTCCAGGAAGCCATAAAGGATAGCAATTGTTGTATGTTACTGAATTTGCCCTGGCAAATATCGTTCCTCCCCGTGTTATACAAAAACCAATTTCACTGCGAAAAGCTCCATTTCCTGTAATACAAAAAAATAAAAGATCTTGTTACAGTTTCAGAGCCTGCATGTGCTGTTGGAATAAAATAGCATGTGTGTTGGTACCTCTGTGTGCGCAGTAATTTGGTTTGTCTCTGCTTTGGCTAGCCCGTGTCTTGAATGTTGAATGAAAAATGATGTAGAAATTGTAGCTTGTGGCTCACAAATAGGAAGGAGCAGGTGAGGAGACTGTCAGGAGCTATTCCACTACGCTGGGTCTCCACTTTGCCCTCAGATGTTCAATTTGAGGGTTATTCAGTTTGTGTGAGGGGCAGCTAGAGGAGGTAACTGAGAGATATGGAGAACCTATGTGAGGCTATTAGATATGAGAGGAGGATTACACAAACATTTCGTGGTAAGACCTCACCTGATTCTGATTTCTCTGGTCTCTACTTATACCAATTGCGGCCTCGTTCGGTCACTTAGGAGTAACTCTCATGAGGTCAGATGAATTATATTGAATAGAATTCCTGCAAGATCAGATTTGGGCCCAGTTTGTTGAGCTTCAGTCCAGTGTTGCTTGTCTCCTTCGGCTTCGAAGTCTGAAAGGACCTGGAGAGTGAAAGCCAGCTGTCAGAGCTGTCCCATCCGATTTCACAGCAGGGTTACAAATTCCTAGTGGGAAACCTTAACCAAATTAGTTAAGACTCCCTCAGTTTTCGAAGGAACCCAGGCCTGAGTAGCGTGGGTGCACTGCAAAGATTTTGCAGAACTCTGCGTAGACTTAACAACTTCTAGCATAGACCACTCTGGAGAGGACAGGAGCAGCCAGAAGCAGCCCCTCGTGCAGGCACGTTTCACCTCCCACCATCCCAGAGCACAGATACCACTGGCATCCAACTTAAATCTACTCTATAGTGTGCAGTGGCGTTTAGGTGCCCAGATTTTATACAGTGTAGGAGGAGAGGTCACATATTTCCAAAGGACACATCGCCTTCTCTCACCGTGCTGTAGTCTGCCCTGAAACTCTCACAGTGACTTATGGCGATACTTTACGGCAGGAGCAAACTCTTCCTAGTTCTGTCACTGAAACCATGTATTTATACAGCACCTATAAATCAGGAGCACTCCAAGGAGCTTCACAGTCGGTATTTATGTCAGCAGCGTTGGCTTTGTGGGCCTCTTCACTGTCTACAGGGTGGAGAACTTCTACCTATTAGTACATTAAAAAGATGAAATAAGTGAATGTATTGCATTCTCTAAGCGAATACAGAAACAAAGGGAAGGGTCAGACTTTTAAACCTGCTGCACATAATGAGACTACACCCATGAATCAGGATTAAATTCAGACTTACACTACTGTGTCCCAGCAACCTGCCCTGACTTCGGCAACTGCTGCAATTCCTGCATCAGACAAAGCTGCAGCAGGTCTTGGTCCAGGCATCGCTGTGCTTCCCTGCCCTTCCACTCTTCCCGTGGTCTGAGAGGTCACATACTGCTTTGGTTTGGCAACAGGATTATTCACACACGTCTTCTGCTCTGCTCCTAGGGGGGACTGGCTGCTGAGGTTTGTATACAGAACCTCTTCTGTCCAGATCAACGTTGCAGGCCTCCAGCCAGTCGACTTGGATGACAGGAGGATGGTAAACATGGACCTTTCGTCTGTAGTAAGTAGGACTTCTTATATTCTGTTTGTTCTGTATTTCTGTCCTTTGCTTGCAGCACTGTAACCTCAGACTCATGGATTAGGGGAAGACAGGCTGCTGAAGAGAGCACTTCTGTTCACCTTGTCCCTCTTTCCTTTCTTTGCGATAACTCTCATCCCAGACTTCACTGTAGATTTTGTTGGCCCAGCCAGCGCTCAGTATTGAGCAAAATTATGAGAATTTACCTCTCTTGTTGGATATGTTTGGGGTTTTCTTTGTTCTGAAATATCTCCTACAGCAGACAGAAAGTGCCATTATTCTCCAGGAAAGACCCTGCTGTCTTGCAAGCCCCAGCTTCAGCAGGTAGGTAGGATCAGCAGCTGGGAAACCTGGAGCTCAAGCATGCGACTGCAGAGCAGTCTTATCTTGGAGGAGCCTTCAGTGCTGTTCGGGTTTGTCTTTGCTCATGAGTGAGCTCTTCCACAGAAACCGTGCAGAACGTAGCTTGTGTTCTGCTTCATATTCACAGTAATCCTGGACATGCAATCTTGTTTTTCCATATCTTAATGTTTTACCTCATTTACTGGAAGACGCTCAGGACAAAGCTCAGGACACTTCCACGGTCGTTGTTCCTCCCGTGACTCCTCCCAAATGTCCCCACAAGCTGGTAAGGACTGTCAACGTTGCTCTGGAGCCAAAGGCACTTTAAGTGCTTTCAGATTTTTTGGAGCACCAGCCTGCTGAGCCTATAAATACCCAACTGTTACCAGCTCATTTCATTCATTATAACTGAGCTATGTACAGCCCTTGCCAGAAAACACAGGGCTTAATGCTGTACAGATAAAACAGAGACTTTGCAGAACACAATTTAGGCTTCCCAGAAGGAAGTGGTATAGTAGAGGCTTTCAAACATGGTCCAGTGCTGTAGCTGTTCTTGTATCTGGCTTAGCAGTTCCACATGCGCCCCCGTCCCTTTTTTCACCGTCCCCAGAGTTGCCATTAGTCACTCGCCATCTGCTGCTGGCATGAAAAGAAAAAAGGCCAAAGATGTCAAGCAGTGGTGCCACTGGGGCGGCTTTTCCTGTTAGTTCAGTCCGTGTTACCCTCCTCTTTTTGACTTCTCTTCAGAGACCCTCTTTCTGTCGACCTTCTGCTTCCTGAACTTTGAAACCCCCCGGGGCCCTGCCCGGCTCGCAGCACCCTCTCCGTTCCCCCGGCCCAGAGGAGCAGTATTTACATTTCAGCTACATGGATAATGGTTTCAGAGCTGCTCTCTGCTGATCTTCTGTTGTGGTGCATCTGTAGCCGTGCTGCACGATGCCAACAGACAATCCCAGCGCTGTTCTCATTTCGGAAAGAGCTGACACTTTCACTTGCTTAATCTCACTGCATAGCACTGGGGGGAAAAAGAGCAACGCCCGCAGGGGGAAAAACCTATATTAAGTAGGTGTCAGTCTCTTGATCCATTTTCCAGACGATGGAGCTTTATGAAAAGAAATACAGCACATTCTGATGGACATTTTAAAAAGGAGCAAGAACGGGGGAGGAAATATTTAGGGGCAATATTTTTTAAAGCGGCAAGAAAGCAAGGATGGATTTTGCCGCAAATACGGTGCAACAGAAATTATTAGAGAGATATTTTCTGTAATGGGGACCAGCTCCATCCCTGCAGATGCCCTTGCTGGAGGTCCCTGTGAGCCTCCTGCAGGCATAAGAATGGACAAGCTGGGATAGAACAAAGCACGGATGATGCAAAGTGCTCAGCAAGCATGTATTATGCAGGCAGCCTCAGTATTTTAGGCATCTCCCAGTCCATCCTTGATGAAAACTGGACTGGATCCAAAGGGCTTGGTCCTCTTTGCTGTGGAAGCATCAGAATCCTCAAATGAGTGGAGGACTAAGAGACCTCAGTATAAACAGGAGTTCACCTCCAAGGCATTTGTTGCTTGTCTCTCTTGATTAGTATGTTTTTTCTTTGATTGTCAGTAAAAAAAAGTGAGAGAAAAATGTCCTCCCACTCAGCAAATGCAGTTATAAAAGCCTTCCTAATGGTTACAATGGGACTGATTTATTCCGTTGATTTATTTGACAGCACCTGTTAGAGACCGAGGAAGTAATTGAGCTGCAGTGTATTGGATTGATTGCTGTTTGTGCAAATGGGACGTTGTAGATTACATTTTGCATTAACATCTGAATATTGCGGAGCTGCTCAGCGTCAGAACGTAGGCAGAGCGTTTTCACGGAGGCTCACAAGTCCAGAACGGGGGCTTCAGTCTCTCCGGGCAGTTTCACTACGGCAGAAACCAGGGGTGAACTCGCAAGCTTGGCGGCAGTAGGCATGCCTGGCTGGGAGTCGAGTCGAGAGCACGGATGGCTCATGGCAATTATTGTAGAAGTCAGTACTGTTCTCTCGTTAGTCCGACATGAAAACTGTCTTAAAGGTCTTTAGACTATGATTAAGTTTTGGATCAACTTTAAAACTCCTTCCTTGCCCATGCTTTCGATGGCAGCTGCACTGGCCTTTTCTTACCCCTCACCCACACGCCGGCTGGCTGGCGGCTGCCCGCCGGCTGCTGGTGCTCACCAGTTCCGTAAGGGCAACGCCGGCTGAGAGCAAACCCCTCCTTGCTCAAAGACCTGCAGTGCCAGAGCCGTGCTCGGTACAGCCCCAGACTAGAGATACAAGGTCCTTTTTACTAGTCGCTGCAATGGTGCGTAGGGAAAACACGCGGGTGCATTTCACAGCCACGCTCTTCTCCTGCAGCGTCTCTGCACAGCGGAGGGCAGAGCAGCAGAGCGGCTTCTTAGAACAGTCGGTATCAGCAGACCTTTGCTTTTTCCCTCTGAGATACCTCAGAAGCTTTTTACCTCTTCTTTTCTTTGCTGCTGCAACTGAGCAGTGGGAAAGCTCTCTTTGTGACGATGATTAAAACCCAAGAATGACTGATCTCTCTTCCCAGAAGCTCTCTCAGAAGAGAGGCCTCGTATTCCCATTATGAGGGAAGGCAACGCGATTCAAGGCAGGCTGGCCTTCAGCCAGACAGGTACACACAGTGTACATAAACACCATAAGCAGATGAAAAGTCTGAATTTTGTGAAATCCAACTGATTTGGCACTTCTGTGAGTCAGGCTTTTTTCCCAAAATGCATTAAACTGTGGGGGTTTTCCCCTATATTCCCAAGACTTGCAGCAAAGAATTAATTGTGGTTATGAAATGTGAATTAATTAAGAACCCTGGGGAGTTCAAAAGGCAAAAGGTCGCCTATGTCTCGTTACACCTTTGTTTCCCTTGTTTCAAATGAGCAGGGCCACCTCCTGTGGTGACAGGCATTAACAGGATCAGAAGAGCAAGAGCTAAGGGCAGAACTCAGCTCCAGGTGGCGGCTCGAGGGAGCCTGGAGAGCCTTCTCTCACATCTGGGGGGCGTGCAAGTCTCTGTGGAAACCAGTCTATTCATCTGCTATAAGGTCACAGGGATGATTTCTTCCTGTGTCCCTATAACCCTGGCGTTGTCAGTGGCTTAGTTTTCTGTGATCCTTCTTGCTGTTGATCTGGGAGCTCCAAGAACCACACATTAAATACGCACTAAATACATTTTTCCCTTCGGGATGCCAGCAGAGGCAAAGTCTATGTGTTAGAACAGAGGGAGAAACTGAAAAAGCTTTTCCAGAAAATTGTAAATGGAGCCATCAATAAGTTGCAGTTTGGTTTGGTTTTGTGGCAAACAAGAACACAAAGGCTGGTGTCCCTCCTTGCTTCAGCACAGATGTATTGCTCAACCTTTCTGTCCTCTGGGAGGCTGGGGATGTTTAGCTGCTTCTAAAAGGCAGAGAGAACCATTTTATAGCGCTCCTTGAGCCTTTATTTCATCAGGCTGGTGCCAAAATTCACAGGCGCCCTGCCACTCAGAAGCAGCTTGGTGCCGTAACGGCGTGGCCAACCTGCGGATTGATGGAAGTAATTTTCCCCTTTCCTCCCTCGTGCCGGGAACACGTGCGTGTCGTTTCACGGTGGGATTCCACAGCATCTGTTCGCGTGCGTGCAGTGTGCGGACACCCCGACTACCCTGGGCAAAGCTGGATTTCTGGGACTGCAGCCCTCTCCTTCAGAAAAGCTGAGATTACTGAGGGCCGCATTTTGGAAAGATTCGCAGGTAGTTTATGTTCACATCTAATGCAATTCAACAGACGAAATCTGCTGTTCCATTAGAGCAACCAGCAAGGTTTTGATACCATGGCATCTTTCTCCCATGGAGCATAACCATTTGCATGACTTATCATCTTTTATAGATTTTTCTCACACTTTACGCATCAGAGCACCTTGCATTTGAAAATCAGGCTGTTCTTGCAAAGCCAGGCGTTGCAGACTCCGTTCTTGACAGGTTTGCAGGGAACAGTTTTACAGCTGTTGACTCAATTGCAAGCAGCTATCCCATCCCACAGACCTTCCTTGAGCAGAACTGCCAGCAAAAGCAGTGGGAGTTTTCCCCAAGCAGTGTTAATAATGTTGGATTCTGCAAGAGTGGCTCCACAAAGCACCGTGAGGTGAAATAAGGATATTTAGCTTTCTATTTCCTGTCTTATGTTGGAATATGAACGCTAATTCTGTGTAATTTTTGTGTTCAGCTTTGAGCTTTGTTTCTAATTTCTTCAGCTAACGTGGAAAGAAAACTCAGTTGCAACATTAACACAAAAGTGCTAACCAAGGGGAAGGCTGACTTGGCTGACACACTGTGTACGCGAGGTTTTCTCCTGTGGCACAGTTTCAGCTAATGTGTTTGAGATCTTGCGATTACAACAGTGCGTAGTGATGTGAGCTGAGTGTAGCTGAAACACCATGAAGCTTACTGCTGCCTGCTGCCCCAGTGACACTAGGGTAAGGGAAGGTATTAAACTCGCTGCAGGTCGCGCTGTGATGGATTTGTAGGCGACCACATTGCTAAGGAGCGATGTTGCACTACTCCATAGCTGTTGAAGCTTCCCAAATGCCTGACTTCTTGCCCAGATAAATTATTACCATC